TTAACATTTTATCTTATGAAAAGTTAACTATCAATCTGATTTTAGATTTTCCTTGTAAATTTAGCATTTAAAACAGTATTTGCATGAAAATTGTCAAGGAAGAGTATATAGATATCAATATGTAAACATTTAAGGAGCTCTTAGTGCTGTGGTTAAGGCTGCTTACGAAAACTTTGGTGGTTCAAGCCTACCAGCTGTTCCATGGGAGAGAGATGAGGGAGTCTGCTTTCATAATGGTTTCCAGCCTTGGAAATTCGATGGAGATTGCTATGAGCCAGAATCAAACTCAATCACAGTGGGTTGGGTTATATAAACATTTATTCAACTATTTTCTTTTAAATGGGCTTTGGAGCATTCAATGATAAAGAAGATCTAATATCTTACAGAAAAGGATATCTTTTAAGATAAAAGAAAGACAATAGATGAGTTGGAAATATAGGAAACTTCTTTGTGAATGGACCAAAGAATTGAAAAGAATGGTCAGTACTCAAAGTAATTATACTGATAGGGAACTGAAGATAATTCAGATTAGGAAATGGACAATATGAACAAAAACCCTGACAGAACTTGTGGAAGTAAGTAAAGACTCATGTTTCTCATAAGAAGTTATTTTTTCACTATTTCTATTAACATTAATTGCAATTTTAAAGTTTATATTGAAAGTACAATGATGAGTTTCTGTTAAATATCTGATTTTCTGTGTAATTGAATCCTAAAAGTAAGTCTAACTTCTGGATCTTTAGCAATAAACACAGTAACAAGTACTTATCTGGTAGCAATTACCAAAGTACAAACTGAAAACTTAGAGAGGGACAAGCTATATCCTTTATATCTTTAGATATATGACAAAAAAAAAAACATAGTTTTTTTTCTTGAAGGAGATCCATGTTAAAATTTCTATATTCTTATGGCTTTATGTCTTGAAAATATATTCATCAAGTACACTGTAACCTATAATGAAATTCACCATTTTCTATCAAATGACCAGAAAAGAATGCAAGACTCAAAGAATGCAGGAGAAATGGTAAACAACATTCTCATATTCAAATTGCTTATGCAACATCTAAGGCCAGAGGACATCAGTATTTTTGCATAATATAGTTAGAGAAAGGAGGCAACTATACCATGCAAAAATAATATTCCTCAAGCAACAAGACAAAATTAATTTCATTATAGAAAATACACATTTTTTATATATGACACATTTGGAATTGAAACAACCAGTAGAATAAACTATGCCGGGCTTAAGTGAATGATTATTCTATTGCTTTCCTGTCGAATTTCTGATTTGTTTTTCTTCCTTCATTTATGGTCACCATTTGGAACCATCATTACTAATATCATGTTATAAAGTAGGGTCTACTGTTTTATGGTAGTGTTTTATTTTGTAATGTCATTTAAAGAACACAGGATGACACTATAGAAGAAAAATGCATTGATACCAATACAATCCCTTTTATCCAGCAAATCACAGATTTGTTTAGCACTAAGTAGGAGAGCATGACATAGAAAATCTTTTCCAGCTGCCTAGTAATTCAATTCAATTAAATAAACATTCACATTATTTCATGTGCTAGCCATGAAAGACATGGGTGTCACTCAATAAAAAGAAGAATCATGTGCTCACTTACTAATTTGATTCGGTGGCCAGGAGTGGCACTGATTTCCCACATGCATTCCTTCCTGCTTGGGTACTTGTCCGGCCAGTTGGGACTGGTGATTACACCAGTAGGACTGTGGATCTTCTGTTCACACTCAGCTGCCCCAATAAAATAATATCAGTCAGTATGAAAGTGCAGCCTAGGACTAGGCCAGAAAGCAAGGAGCCTATTTACCCACTATCCTGTTGAAAGATTTTTCTGAATGCTAGCTAATCATCACTCTATTCTCCGTTATCTTATTCATCTGCTTGGCAAACATGTTGCTGAGCATAATCAAGCAATGTTTGTTTTCTTGCTTCTATGAAATTAAGTGTTTCCCATGAATCAGATAAATGTCTAAAAGAAAATGAACACTCTCCTTAAAACTACCAGATCTATAAGCTCAGACTTCAACAGAACCACATACATTGACAATCAAGGAAATCAACACTTGCTATGAGCAAAATATTTAATGCACCACCACAAAGAGAAATAAACAGACTACACCATTTGCAATTCACTGCTGTTTCTATTAGCAGAAACATCATTTATAGTTAATCAACATCTTTAAGCCATTTTATGAATCATGTGTTTACATTTTCCCTCTTCTTTGTCATCCTAAGTTAAAGTTTATACCTCAATACCTAAACTATAATTTTAATTGCTACAGTAAATTAACCCTAATTTCATCAAAGCAAAACATTAAAAAATAAACGGAAAAACGAGTGAATAGACTAGACATAGAGAAAGCTTCTGAACTAACTACTAAGGATCTCTCATTAAATTAAAATGAAATTTCCTTTAGGCTTTTCACAATTAAGATAGCCGCACCTTAGAAGAAATCAGTCCACATTTTTACTATGAAGTTTGAAAAAGTATCTAACATCCTCAGGCTGTGTTAATCCTATATGCATTACTTAGCATGAAGCAGCACCCTACATACCCTGTTTTAGGAATGGAATGTTATACAAATTTTGTATTGTGTCCTAAAATAAAATTAGAACTCCATTTGGGGCGATTCTTTATTATATGGACCTGCATAACAAGGATAATATGTCCAACACTAATGTGCTTTTTATTGTCGCCGCTAGTGTTGCATTCCCTAATATTAGATTTTTGTCTTAATTGTAATAGGTTTCCATAGGGAGATTTGGATTTGTAACAGAGAAGTACAAAAAACAGAAAGGTGAAGTTCAGCTTCTTTCAAACAAAATAGCATTGTATAGCAAGACAATAGCCTTAAGAATCTAGATCCTGTTTTGACACAGGGTTTTCTAAATTTCATTATCCTGTCCCCACCTTGACATATGAAATGTGGAGGGTGCAGGGATTTGCAATCTACAAGGCAAAGGCAAGAGGCTTGCTGCTAAACTACAATACCATGGTAGAGGGTAGTATTGTACTTCATATATGAACTTTATTAAGTTCATATAGAAGGTAGTATATTAATTATATTAAGGAGTATCTGGAAATTATTCTATCTAAAAGAAAGATTTCTATAATTTCTTAAAATTGTTGACAACTGTAAAGAATAGGGTCTGAATTAAATTATATTTGTTACCTATGAGCCACTGTCTACATACATGATCTCTAAATTACTTCATATTTCTCTAAATTATTTTGAATGTCTACAAAATAATAAGGCCTATTTCATAGCTTCTTGGTTTAAAACACTTTACCAAATTACAAACATTGGGATTCTCATGGGCTTAAGGCCACATGTGAAAGTAGAGAAAGAAAAACAAAATCTGCTTACCTACTATTCTGGGTAATTTTATTATATCAATGAAATAAAATAAACCCTGATATGATAATATTTGAGTCATAATTAAATAGAACAAGGGTAAATTCAGGATATTATATACTATTCTAATGTGTATCTGAGGAATTACTATCTAACCGTGGTTCTAGTCAGGCATCTGCTGAAGATTATGGTTTTAAAACCTACTTTAGTAATTATCTTCTTAAGACATATAAATATATTATATAAATCCAATTTAGTAGAAAATTCAAGAGCAGACCCTCAAAGAAAGAAAGAAAAACCGAATAAGTAATTCTTCTTCTTATTTGGCCCATAGCATCTGAAGGGATTAAGAAAATTGTTTTCTAAAAACAAAAAAAAAAAAATAGAATTTTGAAGGCCTTGAGGACAAGAGCTGTAAGCCTACTATGGCTTCTACTGTGCTTCATTTGGCCAAAACCGTGATAAAATCTTAAAATGGCACCATATCTACCATTTTCAAATGTCTTTCCTCTGGTGAGCATTTGAGTTTGATACTTCTGGTATTTAAAGTGACATCATTCTTATAGCACATTTATGAAATATTTTTGTGAGGAAAATTTCACCAACTGCAAAACATTTTGCAGAAGTTTAAATATAGACACTATCACAAGGCCTGTTCTACAAAGACCTGGGGACAATGTGGTGCCTTTCTGGCTGGCAGATGGCATCATAGCAGCTTCTCTGTCTGTTATACAAAGTTATTATAATGCTACCCATGTTCGAAGTGCAGAACTTTTAGGTAATATAATAAGGTTTCTAATAGTATGCCTTGTATCTTTCAAACTTCCAGAGAAAATTTTTCTTAATATTTGAATCATCTGCAGTGATATCACTCATTGATATGATGATGAACTCTATTTGGAAGCTCTGCTTTATCTATACTACATGAATTTCTAGATGCTGTCAAGGAAAGAGTACTCTTCTCCATACCTTCCTTGCAGTCATGTTTATTTTCATGCAGTACAAATCCATTACGGCACTGACACATGTAGCTGCCCATTGTGTTGACACATTCATGTTGACACCCGCCATTGTCCTTAGAGCATTCGTCTTTGTCTGGCAAAGAAATAACCCCATAGTTTAGTAAATAGCTTTAAAAAATAAAACATAAATATAATATATAAAAAGATAATCATTTAGTTGTGGTTAAGACTAACAAAGGGTAAACTTAAGTCACAGCTTCCCTTATGTCAATACAAAGCAAACAAAATATATTGTGTCTTACTTTTACTCATTCATTGTTTAGCTTAAACTTGTACCATGGGTTGAGTGTCTAAAGATGACAATTTACAGTCCTCTTTCACTCGTATGCTGCAATAAGGCTTTTGAGTAGAAGAAAGGGAAAATCAATTGATATTTTTCCAACAAATCTAACCACACATTACCAGTTACAAAAATTAAGAACTGTATTTTGAATTAAGACAATAAATGACATTTAAGTAGATGGAAATCCTTCAATATATTAACCATGGTATATAGACAAAGGCTAAACAATATTCCAAGATTTACATGTAATCATTAAAAAAAAAAATCACTCAGTAATATACTGTAGTTGATTTTTCTTTTTCATTAACTTTGCAATCGTGCTTAGCATTAGTTAAGCTGGACATTCATAACACTGAACGACAGAAAAAGCCTTTGTTAGACTGCTCTAAGAAACTTTATATATTTTAAACAAATCTAATCTGGCAGACTTGTTTATTAATAAGTAATCCCCTTGAACAGCTTTTACTATGGTAAAAGTAAAATAGAGGTTAGACTTGGAAATAGTGCTTTAAGAAATAGCCAACAAATTCACTCCAGGGAAAAAAGCCAAACAAGATTAGCAGGCAGTCAATCCAGTGAGAGCCATCAGCCACTGCACTATGTCACTCAGCTGTCACTCCATGGCTGACTTGTCCATTAAAGTTAAAACTGGCAGATTGCTCCTGACACTTATATATGATGGCACATCACTCAGACTTCCATCAGTCCCGAGCACAGAGAACAAAAAGAATATGTTACAGTCACACCAGAGGTTTGGCTGAATCTAAAATATATGTTACCAACTTATTTTTCTATTGAGTGGTATGGAGCTCATGGTGGTACACAAAGCATGCTACTTTTGCTTCTTTCTCAGTCAATGTGATCAAATCAATAGTCACTCTATAGAAATATGCTTAGGGAAGATATTTTTACTAAAGAATCTGACAAATCTGATAATTTTTAAGGAGGCATCTACTTTTCCACTTTTAGAGATTCATCATACAATATACCCTGTATGTTTAATGAGAAGTATACATGCATTGACAATACCAGAACATTCCAGATACATAGTGGCAATGTCAAAGTTTAAAGAATCTAACAGAATCAGAATCAGAATTTACATAGTGGTTAAAGCATTTGGCTGCTAACAGAAAGTCAGTGGTTTGAGTCCACCAGCTGCTTTGAAGGGGAAAGATGACATAGTCACTTCCATAAAGATTTATAGCTTTGGAAACCCTATGGGGCAGTTCTACTCCTATAGGTCCTATAGGATCATCATGAGGCAGAATCGACTCAGTGGCAGTGGGTTTACTTTTTTGGTTTATATCATACGTTTATCTTGACATTTCCATCACTCTTTTAATATTTGTTATGGCACTTGACTGCTAACCAGAAGGCTGGCGGTTCAAACCCACCAGCCACTCCTCGGAAGGAAGGTTGGGCATTCCTACTTCCATAGTGATACTACCTTGGAAACCCAAGGAGGTGTCGCTATGAGTCGGGGCCGACTCGATGGCAAATAACAACAACAACAACAATGGATACAATAAAGGGGAACATAAGTATAATAAAGAATATTATTCTCTAAAAGAGTGTCAAGTGTTAAAATGTGATCGATATAAGAAGTTAGTAGAGAATTAGCTTTGTAAATTTAATTTTTGAACAATTTACAATAATCTAGAAACCCAGTTTCCTTTTTAACTGTATGAACAGTTAGAGTTATTGTTTATGGTTTATGAATAACTATACAGCAATTGTGGATGGTAGGAGCTCTGGTAGCATACTACTTAAGGCACTTGACTGCTAACCAGAGGCTGGTGGTTCAAACTCACCAGCCACTCCTCGGAAGAAAGATGGGGCAATCTACTTGCATAGTGATACTGCCTTGGAAACCCAAGGAGGTTTCGCTATGAGTCGGGTCTGACTCGAAGGCACATAACAACAACAATTGTGGATGGTACACCATACTTCTTACCACCATGGTGTCAGCTCCCACTATTTTGAAATTAAGGCAGTGAAGGAGTAAATGGCTTAAACTTACTATCTTTCAGACAACTTTCTGGAGGCTCTTAAGAAGTTTCAGAAAAAAATACTTCTGCATGAGTGGATATAAAAATGCATGTTACCATTGTTAAATGGAAACAGTCAATTCAAATGTTTGCAGTATCAGAATTATTTATCCTGAGATAGAAATGTATTTACTATGAAAATGTATATGTAATGAGTGCTTGGTGTATATAAATATGACCTGATAGAGTACACTTTACTTGCATTATAGGTCAACCAGACTTTTGAGAGTAATTTGAAAACATAAGAAATGTTAATAAAATAATGCAGAGAACATTAGATCACATTTGCAATTGATTGCTAATCAACTGCTCACGAACCAACACCACAGTGGTATGGACTGTCTGCATAATACTACATACCTGTTTAGACTGTTTTACATGATAAACATAAATATGTTTTAAAAATATATATGAGAACAATTTAGTATTGCTGAATTCTAAAATTCATAATCATTTTATAATAAAAAGTTACAATACATAAAATATTGCTAACTTCTAAACTTTCTTCTAGTAGAAAGAAGTTACTATCTTATATTTCTAAGTTTAAATTTTTCTTAAGATATGACAGAATATAATCTAACCTGTGGTAATGATAACTAAAGAGAAATAAAGGTTAAAGCAAAACCAATACAATTTTAATTATAGCTTTTTGTAGTCAATTATTCATGTATTTGTTATGCTAGAAAAATAGCGATAACAAGAGGAAAGAAACATAAGAGGCAGAAAAGCAGGAGGACAATGAGGAGCAGATTTTATATAGTTATTGTTGCCAAAGTATGTATTTCATTTCCTTTCACATTTGAGCAGTGTCTCCTGCCCTCACTCTTACGTTTGATGTTGTATAACTGCATCAATATCACATGGAAATCAATATCACATGGAAATTAAGAGTGAGCCAATAAGCTGCTGGAATACATTCATGGGTTAATCTAAATTTTAGCTAAAATTCAAAACTGGACTGACCAAAATAACTACTAAAGCAGCAGGGGAAAGTTATCATGCCCAGCAAAGTAGCATATACACTGTGCCAACATATATCAAATAGTCATATGAAAAGAGAAAATTTCAGTAAATCTTTGTAATGCTAAATATTAACAATCCAGATATTTTACATCATGCAGACAAAAAAAGATATATATTTAACTTAAGATTTGAAGTTGTCTAGTGAGTAGTGGATACAGTGTGGTTGTTTTTAAAATACCTGTTTGAATAGGAGATAATAAGGGATTTTAATTGAAAATTTATAAAATTTTTAATTATCCATGCTGATGAGAAATAGCAACACTATATATGAATTCTGAAAATATATTTGGAGCTTCTTATTTATGAAAGGCCATTCAATTAGGGAAAAAAAGTTACTGACTTATGTTTTCACTTTCCCTTTTACCTATTAGGACATAAGCTCTACAGACACTCTGAACAACGAAAATCCAAGGAAAGAGAAGGGCGAAGAATGCAGTTTCAAGTATTTATCATAGTGTCTGCATAAGAAATTTAATAAATAAGAATTCTATCAATAATTCATTTGAAATTTTCTACCATTTTCACATTGTAGGCACAAAATAAAGAAAATTCATCTTTATTGTGACGAAAACAAATGTTTTGTTGAATAGAAATAAAAACATTTATTTTCTGCAGATGGAAATTAACCTCCTTCTTTAGAATGGACATATCTTCTTTCCATTCTTCCATGTTAGATGAAGAAAAAGTCATTATTAGGGGAAAAAGTGGTGGCAATCTCCCATCTGAGGCCTGTAGCATATGTCTAAGATAACGAAAGGCCATCAGTCTATGAATAATACATACTGGAAGGAACTGAAGTGGCAACCTGTATCAAGTTCTTGCAAGATTCAAAAACAAAAAGTTTCTCTCTGCAGAAAGCTTCCTTATCTGTAGGAAAAAGAAGTAAACAGTCCATGCCCTAGAACAGAAACTTATGTAAGCAGATATTTTCACACTAAATGCTTAGGATATGAGTTAAACAATCGCATGCCCACTCATGTTCACACACTCACATACTCATGGGCAAGTTTCAACACCAAACTACCTAATAAATAGTCACCTTCAAAAATGCACTAATTCATGCCACAGAGACCTAAAACAGATAATTTACTGTTTCCATAAACATGCAGATATTTCAATTGAAATGTCAGTAACAATGAAAACTTGGGAGTAACAATCAAAATCATTTAGGAAAGTTTTAATAATATTACTATTGGTGATTAATCACACTAATATTTAAAATTTTGTTTCAATGGTTAGGCTGAACTTCTTTTACAAACAGCTATGACCACCCCATGAAAGAAATGACATATAACAGAGACACTTTTACACAATATCAGTATTGGTACACAGTGAAAGGAGGGTTCAGATGACTTGAATATTTCACAAATCATTTTATCCAACTCCTACATTTGTAACAGACAGTAATGAATTGAAAATCAGAAATGGGGTTTTATCCCATTTCTGCCACTGAGAAATTCACCAGGCCCATCATTGATTGCTATATCACATTTTCATTACATTTGTGTCTAAGGGTGACTATTAGTAAGATTTTCACCATGGCAGAGGTCATTCTTGAAGCTTTTCACTGACATAGGATTAGTTAGGAGCTCTGTTAGTGTAATGCCTAAGGCATTTGACTGCTAACCACAAGCCTAGCAGTTCAAACCCACCACTAACTCCTCAGAAGGAAGGTTGGGCAATCTACTTCCTAAGAGATACTGCCTCAGAAACCCAACA